ATTCAGTATTCTTCTCCAGCACCACAGCTCAAAGGCATCAATTATTCTTTTGTTTTCCTTATTCATGTTCAACCTCCAGGTGCATAAAAAGTGATTGAAAATATTATGGCTTGCATTGGGCTTACCTTAGTCTTTAAATTGACATCTTTACTCTTTAGTACTTTAGAGAGGTCCTTAACAGCACATTTTCCCAGTGCAGTATATTTTCTCATTTCTTTTTTTCCCCTCAAAAAAATTCTATTCTTCTACTTCTGTATTTGTCCCCCTATCCACCAAATCAATCCACATTGGCTATAACTGCATTTATCAAATTAATTTCCATTACTTTTTTTTAAAAAAAAATACTGTAATTTTAGTGAAAGTTTATGTAAAGGATGGCTTTTCCATTCATTCTTTGATAGATTTTCTGATTCTTAGGTCTTAGTACTAAGGGTGTTGCTTTGTGGATTCAAGCAAGATGAAATTATTGACAATTTCTGTCTTTTCTCCATCTGTTATGATGTTGCCTATTGGTCTAGTGATGAATATTTTTGTTTGGGTTGTTTTTGTTTTTGTTTTTCATTTTATTTTACTATTTTTTTCTGTTCATACTGTCAAATTGGATCTGACTGGTACAGAAGGAGATTGCCACTCCTTCTCCAGCAGAGAGCATCTGGTGGATTTGAACCACACGCCTCTGGGATTGCAGTATAGCTTCCTGCCACTAGGCCACCTGATTTTTGAGCTCCCTGATTTTTGTTTTCTTGATGTTGAGTTACAATCCATTTTGAAGGCTATGTTAATGAATTGGATTGTTATTGTTGTTGTTGATTACCTTCAAATTGAGCACAACTCATAGCAACCCTATGAACAAAAGGCCCAAAGCCCCTCTACACTTATTAAAGTTCACAGAGTTTCCAGAGACATGTTTAGGAAGTGGGTGCCACTCCTGCTTCCAAACCTGTCATAGAATTTTATTGGTTGAGTCGCCTGCTTTGCACAGTGACCCTCTGTACAGCATCTCTGAACCCTTCCCTGTCCTGAGCCAGTCTCACCAACTCTGACACACCAATCTCCATCACCCCAGTTACTGTATTAATCCATCTCAACCAAGGTCTCCCTCTCCTGCACTGTCCATCCACCCTTCAGAGTATGATATCCTTCTTCAAGGATCAATCTCTCCTGACCACATGATCAAAGTAAGTGAGGCAGAGTTTCAAAATACTAGCCTCCAAGGAGAGACTTGGTTTCAATCTCTATAAGACGGACTTGAGATCAACAAATTGGGTAGTAGTTTTAAATTGTTGTTAGATGCTATACAGTTTATTCAAACTTACAGTTATCCTATGTGACAGAATTGTACTGTTAAGTCAGATTCAACCTATAGCTGACCCTCCACCAGGTTTTCAGAGGCAGTAAATTGCATGGGAGGAGACTGCACATTTTTCTTCCATGGAGTGACTGGTGCCTTTGAACCTTGAGCCTTTGGATTTGGCAGTGCAAATCTTTACCATTAAGCCTCCAAACTCCCTTATGACAGAGTAGTATTACTCCATAGGGTTTTCTCTGCTGTAATCTTTATGGGTAGAGTCAGGGGGAAAATATATAAGACTCTTATGATGAGAGTACAGTACCTGTAACAATGGGCTCAAATACAACAATTATGAAGGTAGAAAAAGACTGAGATATGTTCTGTTCAACTGTTCATGAAGTCACTCCGAGTGGAAACTGACTTCATAGCACCCGATGTCAACAGCAGTCTCTATGGGAGCAGTCACCAAGTCTTTCTTCCACAGAGTGGCTGACTGGCTTTGAACCATCAGTCTTTCAGTTAACAAGTGTATACATAACTGGGCTGCTATGCCTACACAGTTTCAGGTTACAACTCTTTCTGTATTTGAGAGAAAATAACCCTTGAGGGCCTAGTTCAAGTTTTCCCTGTTCTTCAGGGCTAGACAGTGAAGCTTGCAGACTTCTTTACCAGACCAGGCATGGGATCACCATCAGAGTTCACCCTTGTAGTCAGAACTTGATTTGGTCACTGTTTACACAACTGATTAGATTGGAGGAGGGAAGGAAGGTCCCAGAGTGTGTATACCTGAGGGCAGAGGCATCATCTGTCATCTCTCCTGCTTCCACAAGAGCCTAGAAAGTCACCTACATCCAGGAGTCATTAAAAAACTTATTTGTTGAAATGAACAGAACAATTTTACTGGGCATTAAGTAAGAGTAGTATGGAACTTTTAATTACCATATAGATGTGGTCTATTAATCTCTTTATTAACATTACCATTTAGAAAGTTTATAAACTTTGGTATTTCGGTCATGAACTTGGGCCAAACTTGAGAGCCAAACTTCTTAAAGGCAGTATCTCCCCTGCCTCATTTTCCATTCACCAAATCCACTCACTGTTTTCTGTCCCCAGCTTGTCACTCCCCTAAATGCTCTCACCAAGCTTATTAATAACCTCATGCTCCAAGCCCTCTTTTCAGCAACTGTGGAACTGTACCCACCTAGTTTTTCTCCTGCTTCAATGACTCTTCCTTCTCTGGCTTCTTTGCAGGATTTCTCTTCATCAACCTGTTCCTAAAATGTTAGTGTTCCTCAGGGGTTTCCCCTGGGTTCTCTTCTCTGTTCACTCCCCATTCTATCCAGGTAAACTCCTTCACACCTTCAACTGTTAACACGCTGGCAGTGATGGCTAAATTTTACCTCTCTAATAAATTCCATCTAAATATGCACCTAGCAACTCCATTTGTCATATTTTAGATATTTCTCACTCCATGTTATTTTCTCACAAACCTGCTCTTCCTTCAGCATTTTCTAAAGGGAATGTTGACACCAGCCAGATAGTTGCTTCTGCAAACCTTCCTTCTCCATAGAGTCACAATAGTTCTGGTTTTCTCTGAAATCTATTACGCTTACAAACGCTGATGTGAATCCCAATTCCAACACCTTTGCATAACTTCAAATGCCTTATACCCTGAAGACCTTCTCATTTAGTTCTCCCGTCTCACTTTGCTTCAACCACACTGGTGTTCCTGTTCCCCGTGTGCACCAGCAATCCTGGTCCTGAGATCCTGTCTGTTTAACATGCCCTCTTATCTTTCCTTGTTAACCATGATAGGTTACTATGGTGTTAGCCTAAAAGTTGGTGCTTTTTATCCATTACAGTTAGCCCATCTGGTCTCCTGCTACCTTAACTGAAGACACATGATGTCGCATATCAGCATAGTATTTCAAATCATCAACAGCTGCTGGAATAGGATAAGAGAAAGAGTGCTTACCACATTGAGGTGAGCAGGACTTGTGGCAGCAAGACTTACAGGAGACTAAAACAAGACCTTGGTGCAAGACTTTGGTGACGGTGGTGGAGAGACTATGGCATTGCTGTGGAGAAATGGTAGCAAGGTGTGACCTGAGGATTCTTGTATTTGTGCTGGCCATAGTTAAAGGTTTTGCTCTTCTTACTTTTCATGATGGAAAAGCTACTTGCTGAACTGAAACTGGAGCCTAAACTAGTTGAGGAGTTGTGCCTTGGAACTGTTAGGCTAAAGCCTAGACTTGTGTTGTGAAATATTCTTTGCCTCCCCCAGTCTCCAACTTATTTTTCTAATAAACCCCATTCTCTGTGCCAGCCCTGTGAGTTTGTGAGTCAGCAATGAATATGTGAGCCTCTTGCTGCTGGTATGCCTCTAGAGCCACCATGGGAGTGGGCTACGGGCTCTTAATCTGCTTTCTGTTCTGGGGTGGTGAGGGTCGGTGCTATTCTTACTCTCTCTGGCCCTCAGAGAGACATGCATGGCCCTGTGCCTCCATGTCCCATTTTCTCTTCTTGAGACAGTTACCTTACCTACTCCTTATCAAACTAGATATCTCTTCCTAAGGAAAACGTTACCTAATCCTTCCAAACCAGGTTATGCCCTTTCACAGTCTCTCAACGAACCCCATGGTAGAGTGAATCGAGTCAACTCTGACTTATAACAATCTTGTGTACAACAGCTCCAAACTCTTGCCCCACCCTGTGCCATGCTCATAATTTTTACTGTGTTTAAGCCATTGCTGTAGTCATTGTGTCAATCCATTTTATTGAGGTCTTCCTCTCTTTCTGTGACTCTCAACTTTTCTAAGTTGGTCTTTTTTCCAAGAACTGATCTGTACTGATAATATGCTCACATTATGTAAGACAAAATCTCACTATCCTTGCCTCTAAGGAACACCCTGGCTGCACTATTTCCAAGACAGATATGTTTGTTGCTTTAACAGTCCATTGTTGCGTACCATTTAGTTGGAACCTGCTCATAACTGACCCTCCAGAAGGTTTTCAGAAGCAGTAGGAGGAAATTACTCATCTTCCTCCCTTGGAGCAGCTAGTGGATTCAAACTATGTGCCTTTGGGTTGGCAGGGTGACTCCTTACTCATTGCCAACATTCTTCTTAGGCCTCCTTATCCATGGGCCATTATCACACTGAGAGTCTATTCATTCTATGTTCATCTTCTACCCTGGGTTGTAAGCAGCACAAAGGCAGTAACCATGTCTTTTTTGCCGACTGCTGTATCCCACTACCTAGCACAGTGCCTGGGTGGTAAGTGGGAGGCAAGAATTAGTAAAGAAATGAATTTAAATAACCAAGGGCTTACGACTATGGTCACTGCTAATTTAGCTAAGTTCTTGGATTTCCTTTTTGTCACGTTGCAGAACTATTTTTGTATCAGATGTCTACCAACCTCCCTCCCTGTAAGTAGACATGTCAGGGTCCCTGAAGCCACCTGAGGAGGGTAAATGCATTATTTATGCCTGGCACAGGAGGCCTATAAGAGCAGCAGCACCAACACAAGGCACACTTCAATGTGAAAGCAACATCTGTGCCTTCCAGACAATAGAAATTAGATTAATAAGAGTGAGGGATGAGGGGGGAAAGCAATTATACAATGATAAATCCAAAGACAGCAAAGCAACGAATAATTATATCACAGCATTTTTATTTGTCTTGTACCTGCAGGTTGGGGATTAAGAATCATGTTGCATGAGGCACAGGAAAGGCAGAAGTTCATCAGTGAAGCTCAATACCTGCGGGACATGCAGCATAAGGCAGACTCTGACTATCAGGTACTTGTGAGAAGAGAGAGTATCTTTCACCTTCTCCAACAGTAGGAGTCCTGGTGGCATAGTGAATAAAGAATTTAGCCGCTAACTAAAAGGTTGGCAGTTCTAACCCACCAAATCCCTGATGGGAGAAAGATGTGGCAATCGGCTTCTATAAAGGTCAGAGTGTTGGGAATGCTATGGGCAATTAATTATACTCTGTTTGGATCCATAATAAGGCAGTGATGACAGTACTCACCTCATAAAATTGCCGTGAAGAGGAAATGAAATAAAAATTCATCACAACTTCCAATTCCAACGCAGCAGCAGCCCTCTAGGACAAGGTTTCTGAGGCTGTGAATTCTCCATGGGGTTTCAAAGGTTCTCAAAGTTTCTGGAAGCAAATGGCTACATCATTCTACCCTGAGGCAACTGGTGGGTCTGACCTGCCAGCTTTTCAGCTCAAATCCGAGTGTTTAACCACTGTGCCACTAGGGCTCCTTGAAATGTGATAACATTGTTGGAGTATTTAACACAGTGCTTGTCATACTGTCTTGGTCAGCCAGTGACTTTAGGGCTTAAAGGTAACAAGCCATTTCAAGAGAAGAGACATTAAGGAGTTAATCTGGGTCATCCTACCTACCTACCTGTTATAAAATAGCCTGCCCTCCCTTGCCTGCAGGAAGGTGGTTTGTACATCCTCCTGTAAGCTAACAATTCATCAACCTAGTTACAGTGTTTATATGCAACAAAACAGACTGGAAAGCTGAGGAACTGTGATGCAATTTACTCAGAACTGGCGCAGGAAAGACTTGCCAAACTGGGTTGTGGGCCTCTGGGAGCAGATGGAGTGTCACTCATCTCCCTGGCTGGAGGAGATCTGCTCTCAGTCACCTTTAGGAGACACATTCCCATCCCCCTCAGAGGACTGGTGGGAAGCACACCTTACCTTGGTAGAACTCAGATTTGCCTTCACCAGTTCTTCTCTTCCTCAACAATTTCAGATATAACCAAGTCTCCCAGGTCACCAAGGAAACCAGACCCCTTTCAGCAATGCCATTTCACCCGTATAATGCAGTGTAGCTTTGGGGCTGGAAACAGAATCAGCAATTTCCACCCCCGATGCTTGCTTATCCACATAGGAGGAGACCATCAAATCGAGGGGATTTCAGTAAAACAATGAAAACATCTGAACCAATCATTCAGAGAGTTCATCTACTTTTCACAAAGATGCCTCTGTCACTCGGCTCATGTTTGGAAATGCTTGTTTAAAATTGGGGACCCTCTGGATACCCACCTCAGGGTGTACAAACAATATGAGGCCTAATAGTAAGAGATGACTCCCCAATCCTGTACATTTGCCATATTTTTCTTCTACACTTGACTCACCTTTAAGGAACTGACTCAAATAGAGCCCTTAGAAACCTTGTGGTTTCTAACCTGTTCCTGCTCTGTTCTGATGTATCCTCTAGGATTGGTATGCACCATATTGTTAGTGTCTTAACAGGTTTGACACAGTAACTGCAGCAATGGGCTCAAATGTCTCAGAGATGATGACGACGGCACAGGTTCAGATCTGTTGTTCAAGGGTCATTGTGAGTCATACTCAACTCGACAGCACCTAACAATGACAGAGCTGTTCACCAGAGTGGACAAGAGCGGAGCGCTAAATCCACCCTGAGTTATTTTCATACTATTTCTTTCTGTGACTGGGTGGGACCCTTTAGGGAAATAAAGAGGAATAAACATAGATTTGGCATAGTCCATGTCTTTCAGAATCTGCTAACTAGTATATCATTATATGCCATCTCAGAATTTGGCTCTCTTCCTTCAAGGGTGTTATTGCTGCATACTCTCAGCTCTTTCTCCCCCCCCCCCTTCCTTTTGGTCAAATGTGTTTGTGTAACTTGAGACAGAATTGAGCCATTGATGTCCCCTGGAAAGCTGAGAGAAAGATTACACTTGGCATTTCAGAATAATTTTCCATAATCTATCAAATGCTTTCAAATTGGTTTCATTTCACTGCATGTCACTGATTCATCTTCATTCTTTCAAGTGCAGATCAAACAGCTGAACATGACGAGATAAACTTGTTCAAGGACATGATAGGTACCTTTAAACTGAGAAAGAAACCAAACCAATTGCTGTTGTGTTGATTCCGACTCATGGTAAACCCACATGTTCAGAAAGGAGCTCTGGTGATGTAGTCCATGGTGGGAGTGGTGTTGCTTCTGTGTGCCTTGGGTTTTCAGAGTCCATTAGTTATGCAGATGTAACCTGTATATGTAAAGTAGAATGAGGGTTTTCAAGGCTTTTAATCTTTGGGAATTCTCCAGAACTTTCTTTCAAGGTGCCGCTGGGTGGATACAAACTGCCAACCCTTCAGTTTGTAGTCAGATGTTTAACAGATGTGGTGACCGCCTAACTTAAAGTCAGATGGTGAGAATTCAGGAGCCATCCACCCTAGCAGATGAGATGATGGAAATCACTTCATTCTCATTTCCACAGGCATTAGGGAGAAGATCCTCTTTCCTGCTCAGCTTTGTGGTATGTGTTGCTCTCTGCTTGTCACAGCTAAAAGAGGAAAAGATACTAGTTTGTGGGAAGTATCATGCCAAACTGAGTTTAGGCCTTTGATTACTTCAGCTCTGAAGACATGAATTCTAATAAAGTCACCAGTAAGAATGAAAACGTCAAACTCAGTGTTCTGCACAGCACATGAGCAACAACAAAGAACCAAGAGAACTCTTGCTTTTCAAAATGCTTGTGGGTTTACAGCCACAATAGCATTGACAGAGGCTAGTATTTATTGATATTAGTAACAAGAACAACATACCAAATAACTGTGGAAGCCTCTCAAAACTAAGACACAGTGTGTGTATCTCAATGGCTAAAAGCAAGAGCCCCTCACTTGACTGGTTGGGAGCCAGGTGTGCTCAAGAAGTCAGTCTCTGCTGACAGACCAGAGAAACAAGGATGAACGTCAGGTCCAGACAGAAGAGGCTTCCTTCTTCTGTGAACAATGTCAGAGTGCCATACTTTGGCAGAGGCTGACTTTAGAAATAAAAGTAAACCAGAAAGTGGAATTGAAAGAAATCACAAAAACTTAGTCATGATTTCATAGGATTGTATTTAAAAGAATGACCAAAAACAGAAAAGAAAGAATAGTTACAGAAACTAATTGATTGTGTACGACCAAAAACCTCACAGGATTTTTTTTTCTCTCTTGGTTTGGAGGTTCAAGGTCATGCTTTTATCAGACACTTCAGTTAGTTGATGTACTAACATGTTTAGTGCCTCTCTTCTATCTCCTAGTTCTATGAGTTGTGCTTTGGTCTCAAAAGCTTGTAAGAGGTCACCAAAACCCAACAGCTGGTCTCTGTTGAGCTGTAACAATGGAAGAGCTTGGAGAATTAGGAACAGGAGGAGGCTATGGAGAAGGACATCGTGCTTGAAAGGATGGAGGACAGAGCAAGAGCGGAAGACCCTAGAGGAGATAAATTGACATAGTAACTGGAGTAATGGGGAAAGTGTGTCAAAGACATTGAGATTGCTTCAGGACAGGACAGGGTTCAGAGCTATCATGCAGAAGGTCTCTGTGAGTCGCAAGCAACTCAACAGCACATAACAACAACAACATGGAATGTGTGGTTAACTGCATAAAAACTGTCTCCTTTGCCATAAGATCAGAAGAACTGGATGGTGTTCGGCTGTCATTACTAACAAATTGATCAAAGTTCCATAGAAGCGTCTTGATGAAAAGGGAAGAAATATAGAATGGAATTTCAAATTCTTATAAACTCCAGACTTCCTGGAATCCTACAGCATAGGGATGAACCCCTATGATAATATTTAAACCTTAAACCTAAGATATCCCTGAAGTCTTCTTAAAAACCAAACAATAATTTAGCTTAACTAGGGAGAAAAATGTTATTTTTGAGCATTCATGACTTTAGGGACTGTCTTTATGGGATTAAATTGACAACAGCAATTCAGAAGGCTAGACAGGAACCTTAGGGGGGTCAGTGATTTTATGTCAGTGGAAAAGGAACAACTCAGACAGGATGAGAATGGTCGCTCAACTTGAAGAACGTAACCAACATCATTGAACTATGCTTTTAGAAACTGTTGAATTGGTATGTATTTTGGTGTTTATATTCTCAACAGCAACTAAATAAATAAAGTTACATGTTGTTATGTACTGTTGAATCAGAATTGACTCATAGCTGACCCTCCAGTGGGTTTTCAAAGTCAGTAAATCATGGAGGAGATTGTCTATCTTTCTCCCAGGGAGCAGCTGGCAAATTTGAACCTTGTACCTTTGGGTTGACAGCACACTTCCTTACCACAAAGCCACCAGAGCTCCCAATAACAAAAACTCCAATCATGATGATGATGATGATGATTGGTGGGTGCTATTTGTGAGCACTAAGCATATTTCTAAGGGAATCTGGCAACGTACTTGGAAGGAACTGTACTGCCAATCCAAAATCCATACCTCTCTGGCAGTTTGAATTTCCCAGGAGCTCTGTGGGAGAAAGATGGGCCATCTACTGTGCAGTTTACAGCCTTGGAAACCCAGTGGAGGGCCAGTGATGCGTCAGTTCTGACTCTACAGTAATGAGAGGGAGAGAGACACATTTATTACTGATGGAGCTCTCATCATTCAGGGATTACACACTCAGCTGCTAACTGAAATGTTGCTTGTTCAGATCTCCTTGTTGTTGTTGTTGTTATGTGCCGTCGAGTCGTTTCCGACTCATAGCGACCCTATGCACAACAGACCTAA